GTTGTCGACATATGTATTAGCAAGTATTTCTTCGTGGAGTAGGCTGCTGTTATCTCTTTCTAGTGCGTATTTATTGACATGCTTAGTAAATAAGGTGAAGCGTTGACGCCAAATGGAATACGGGTGAAGCGCAGTGTGCGGATGTTTTCTCTAGTAGGACCTTTTGACGGGTCCTTCAACCAGAGAAACCTTGTGGCATCTCTTTGATCTTCCTGGAGTCGGATTTGGTGAAATGCCTTTTCGACATCCGCTATGATTAGTATTGGAGTAAAACGGACTCTAAGTAATGTTCCACATAAATCTGGTCTTCCTTTAGGGCTGCCTGATGTGGAATGTAATAGATTAGTTTTCCTGGAGGCCGTTCTTTCTGGACTTCTTCTATGATACCTAGTTTGAGCTGTTGCTCAAAGGTATCACAGTATTGTGTCCATATCTCCTGTTTTTGATGGAGTTTGTAGTACTGATTCTCTAGTCTACGAACGGCTAAGGCTTTGGTTAGCTAATGGAGGATGATCTGTCTTCCAGGGGAACTGGACATGTATTAGACCGTCGATAATTTTCACTGTATTATAGAAGTGTTGTATTATTTCGGCGTCGGTTGCATCTTTGTCGTCTTTTGGTGGCGAGCATTTCGAGGCCCAGTAGATGACGGACTTATTCTGTCCGTTTCATTATCGGGTTCTGCCTGTAACGATGCCGGCGCTGTATTAGAGAGTGTATTAGATTGTAATAATGCTTGAGGTCCTGATAGGACTGGACCAAGTTTGGTGTTTGATTGGACTAGTCCAGAAGGAAGTAGGCGATTTGAGTTGATTTCGACTACATCCCAGTAGTGATCCATTCCTATAAGGACGTCGATTTCGTTGTGTTCCCTAGATGGGTCGTTTTCCGACCCTGAATTAGAAGGAATGGTGGTTATGAACTGTCGTGTCCATAGTTTGAGACTTATCGGTCTACCGTTTGTCTTACTTTGGAGCACGACTTTGACTCTGTATGATTCCTCCGTGTGGGAGTATCCCCCAAAGGTGAGTGTTGTTATGTTTTGTGAGTGTTTCAGTTCGAACCCCAGCTCTTTGGCTACTTTCTCTTTGATGTAGCTGTGCTGGG